GCACATGGAGCATATGAAAAATTTTATTTCAGGTTTTATACATACATTTGAATAACTAAAAAACCATAAATTAATACATCAATACCATAGAATTCCACTATAATTTATCAAGTTTAGTAACCAAGACAACCTACCTCACTGACATCTTGGTTTAAAAGAAAGAAATGGTGCTAGTTATGTTAGAAAGGCTGAGAAAACCACTAGGGGGACATCCTAAGCTTCCGATTGGTTATTTATGAGCGGGGTGCCACTGTGTTTGATTTATTATATGAGCAATATCTTACCAAATTGAAAAGATAAGACTTTCTTATTTTATATTCTAGGTTGTCAATATCTGTAATTTGAGTCTGTAATTTGTATGAAACTATAGACTTAGTATTTTGACTTCATAAACATCTAATTTGAACAAGTGTTGCATTCAACATACCATGTGAAATGTTTATCTGTATTCTTTAATATTTACTTTTGAATTAACAAATTGAGTAATACATAGTTCTAAGTTTTGAATTATAACCTACAGTTTGATACCAAACTTATTGATATAAATTCATGAAATAGAAGTTCAGTAAAATTTTGAACGTGAGTCAACAAACAAGATGACATGGCCTTTCACCTGTGACCTGTCTTGAAAAGGTTAAGATAGCTACAGGGGGTAGGAGAAAACCCTCAGATGAAGATACTGCCAGATCATGCAAATAATGTGAGATAAAAGTATTGGAGGGGTGGTCCACATACCAATCAACACAATGTCCTCCAGTGGGCAATTCAACTGGGCCACTAAAGACAAAGAAATGTGACAAATCTGACTAAACATGCCTCATAGAAGATTCCTTGCCTTCAAAGAGAGCCTAGACTAAAAAAGTCGTTGTCTAGCATCTCTAAAGGCATAAGTGCAGGCAAAAAAACCTTCAAGACCCTAACTAAACATGACAACAATCGAAATATGATCAGACATATAAGTAAGAAATAGTGATCAGATGAATCAGTGAAAAGGATTTATCCCCTTCCCTGTCTGACAGTGTCTTGGATAAGAAGAACCAGTCTAAGTACGTAGTAAAATAAGAAAGCGGTCTGTGGAAAAACAGCACAAATCACTCCAACGAGCAAAATCTGTAGGCCAGCAACAGCAAAAAATAAACCTTCAGGTACATGTGATACATAGCATATGAGAATCGGGTCACAACAGGCATTGAGAAAGGGCATGTAATGTAACCTTAATACACCAGTTAGGTAACTGGAATGGTTGTTTGGGACCAAAGATCGAAAGTGACACAAGGAATCCGGAGAGTAGTGGGGACTCAAAGAATATTTGTCACAATTATCGAATGGTAGATGATAAAATTATCTTATACAGGGCAATTGTGGTAGATGCAAAAACCCTTGCCAAAGAGCCAGGTAAAAAAACTTGGGTTCAACCTCCTCTCAATACACCATTACCAATACCTGTGTCATTTCTGGTGACGACAGCCTTAGAAATTAAACCCTGATGCCATGTGAAAGGCTGCATAACCTCCATGCCTGAAGCTTGAGCTTCTGGATAGCTGAGTGTACCATGTTAGATCATGGCTGCCTCCAAAGATATGGCCTAAAAAGAAGTGGAAGAGGTGGATACTCCAGAAAGTACAGCAGAAGCCAGGGTGTAGCTGCCAATGTGGTGCTATCAACAGGACCTGATAATGAGTTGGAACAAATCATATTCAGTACTCTGTGTAACATATGAATTGGAAGGGAGTTGTAATCCCGTTCCATCCTGACAGAATATATCCATTGCTAAAGCCCAAAGATGAGATTCTGGAGACCAAATTGCCAGTATTTGGGTGTTCCAGCTAGTGGCCAACCCACCAATCAAAATTGCAAAATTAGAGCCAATCCAACAGAACCTTGCATGCAGCATCTATTCTGTTGGGAGAATCTGTTTAGGTTAAGAAAATTGATCTGCTACCATAGGCATCACCCTTGGAACATGGCAAGCTAGTAGGGTGATATGATAAGAGTTGTCCCGAGAAAGGAGGTCCAAGATTCGAAAACAAGGAGTTCTGGACTAAGTGCCTCCTCAATGAGAATCACATGACACCACAACGGAAGTTTCAAAGTGAAGCCTGATGACTGTCCACTTAATAAGCCCCAGACCATGAGGCATTACCTTTTGAAGAGTAAGAAGGACTAAAACATTGTGTAGGGAAGCCTTGTCGTCTGTGCATAGACCCTAGAATTCTTGACTGTTGGTATATATGCATCCCATCCCTGAATCAAGGCATTTATGAAGAGATGGAACTCTGGATGAGGTGGTAGCAGAGCAACCCAAATCTAAGTAGTGTCCTGAATTAACAACCCCTCAAGATCAAGAATGATCCCAACAAGATAACTGGAGAATCCAGTGAATCGATGTATATGATCTCTTGGTCGCATAATGACCATTAAATTATGCCCACATTCCCAGAAGAGAAAGAACCATCTATGCAGTGGAAGAAGGAGAGGTGAGTAAGAGTCGGGCTTCCTGTTTCGTAGCGTGGAGCCAGATGGGAGTCAGCTGAGCCTGACTGAGAGACAAAATGAAAAATACCCACACTGATGATATATTGAATTGGAGCAAGAATACATGTCTCAGTCCTGAGAAAGAAGCCTGCCTTGGTTGTTTCTGAAAGTAGAATCAGGTTGTGATGTTCTGACAATTGATGAGATGGTGCCAGCAGTAACCAGTTGTCTATGGAATGGTGTGTGCATGGTGCGATGAAATGGAGGTGATGAAAAAAAACTCATACAATATGGTAGAACCCATGTGAAGCTGGATGCAATTCTGAAGGTAAAAACCTTGAAATGCCATGCAAAAAGTGCTGATAGTGGTGGAACACCACTGCTATGGCAATATGCAGATAGAAGCTGACTACAACACACTGGGACATCCATAATCCCAGTAAAAAATGGCCTAAGAAGATAGGAGATTGATGTCCAGTCAGTCATCAATCTGTCTCATCTATGTCAATGCCTAGATTATCCATTACACATTCTTCAGTCTGCATTGACTCAGAAGAATTAGCACAACTCTCTCACTATCCCCACATCAAACTATAATAGGCCTAGAACTAAATTCCAAGTCCTGAGGAGACAGAAATCTTACAGGTTGGGTGGATAATAGTGGTGAAGATGTAAACTAAATGATTAATCCTGACTCAAGGACCTGTATTTCTCCTGGATGCATGATTAAGATTACCACACATCCTGATATTCTCAAAGCAAAGTCCTCACAGACCCTGAAGGCAAAGAATAATCACTGACACCGCTGGCGGCAGTATGACCGAGTAGCGGAACTTCTGAATATACACAGAATCTATTCTGAATACCATTGTACTAAGAAGCTGATGTTGGGGGTAAGGATCCACGAATAGGGTCAGAACTATGACCCCCTGTAGAAGCCAATTAAATTTGAGACACCAACAACAACAGGGATGAATGTAGAAGGTGACAGTTGAACCAATGTGCATGCTAACAATGGTTCCAGATTGTCATCAATGAAGTTGGTGATCTGATTTTGTCGAGAAAAAGTGATAACAAACTGAATGAGGTGCTTATATATAGTTTCAGGATCGAGGGCAAACTGTTGTAGGTGGAGAGTGTCACGAGACAAATATTGCAAAGGGCAATTAAGTGGGGTATAAAAGATTGGAGCAAGAGAGAAACAATCACATCAATGCTGGTAGTCAAGTAATAGCTGTAAGTGTGATGATAGATAATTATGTAATGCACAAAAATCACTAGCCCTTGTTTGTTTGTTTTGAATTTTGCGCAAAGCTACATGAGGGCTATCTGCGCTAGCCGTCCCTAATTTAGCAGTGTAAGACTAGAGGAAAGGCAGCTAGTCATCACCACCACCGCCAACTCTTGGGCTACTCTTTTACCACCAAATAGTGGGATTGTCCGTCACATTATAATGCTCCACGGCTGAAAGGGTGAGCATGTTTGGTGGGACGAGGAATTGAACCCGCGACCCACAGATTGCTAGTCGATCTCCCTAACCACCTGGCCATGCCGGGCCACTAGCCCTTGTAAGTTTTATACTAAAGTGAATTGTTATGTACATTTACAGCACAGATAATTGGTACTCTAATTTTCAAGACTGAAGAAATTAGATTATTTTATTATAATTCATTGACTTGTAGACTACAATGCTTCAAGTTTGTTGGTTAATATTCAGTTAATTGGCAATTCATATTTATTTCCTCAGAAAATAAAAACATTTCTAATTCTCTAACATAATTAGTTTAGAACTATTTAATGTCAAAAACTATTGCAAATTTCCTTTAATTTTAGAACCTCAAAAAATAAACACCAACAAGCTGGATAATTGATGCATTTTAAATTTTGGCAAATGTTTTTGTGGAAAAATAAGTGCATGATGATAACTGACAATTGTATTAACAGGTGGATGAGGTACATGTACAATGTAGAGATCTATTATAAATATGCCAATAGTTTTAATGGATGTTTAATATGAATTTTTTAAAGAGGTGTTGAATTCACTAGACAGTATGACACAAGTTTAAAGCAGAACATCCATATAAAAAAAAAAAGAACTGGAACTGAAATATAGTGATGTGCTTTATAAGGTTGATTACTGCATGATCAACATCTGCAAGTCAACAGTTATTTTATCTCTTACCAGCCTGGTTTCCTTATGTTTTGTATAAGGGCCAATGACATCATTAAATAATATTCAAAAAAAATCTGTCTCACCACTGCCCCTCTCAAATCATCTACAAATTAAAACTAAACCAAAATCTTCTGACTTAGAATTTTCTTTTAATATATATTTTATTAACACTAGCTTTAGGTGAAGCTTACTGTGAGAGTGGTAATTGTTAATTATACTTTTAAAACAAGAACTCACATTTCTTGCTTCTAGTAATTCTTTAAGAATTTGTGCTTGAGTTGGAGGATTTACTGATTCAAACAGAGTTTGACAGCTAGAGTCATGGTTCAAGGCTTCAGACCCAAACAACAAAAGACGAGAGTGAACAGGTACTATTTCATCATCTTCAGGGTATGAACATTGAGTTAAAAGGTTCTTTACTGCTTCATTATTCTCAAACTCAAAAATAAAAACTTCCTGCCAAAAAAAAAACAAAAAACAAATCACATACACTTCTTCAGTTTTTAAAGAGCAAATATATTTAAACATAATAGTCTTTCTAACAAATAAATTCATAATATTTTAGAAAATTTGATAGCTTTTTAATGCTAAACAACAAATAATATTAGATCTTATCCATATTTCTTTGAAGATATCTGATGAATATTTTAATACTAGTAAATTTCTCAGACAGGATTTAATCCTAATTCTTGAAACCTCATTACAGACAAGAAAGATAAATGCTGTATTGTGGGGGATAGGTTGGTTCACTAGATAGAAAAACTGGTTACATTTCCAAAGCATTGTTATGAACAAAGTTCAGTCAAACTGGATTAACATCACGAGTGAGGTACCTCAGGGCTCAGTGTTAGGACCTTTGCTCTTTTTGATTTACCTCAATGACCTAGATGAAGGAATGGTCAACAGATTATTTAAATTTCCTAATTACATTAAAGTTTCCGGTGTTGCTGGCTGTGAGGAGGATGGTCGCACTTTATAAAAGGATTTGGATTACTTCAATAAATAAATGGCAGATGACTTTTAATTATAATAAATGCAAAATAATGCATGTGAGATGTCACACTTGTAATTCTTAGAATAATTTTGGTGGGAATAGCTTTTACAGTGTTATGATAAAAAAAATTCTTGGTGTTCTGGTTCATCAATCTCTACAAAAATACTGAATACAAGTCTAAAGAAGTTATAATGTTAATTGGTTAGGCTACATTTGGAGTGCTCTGTTCAATATTGGACTCCTTACCTTAGATCTTACACTGAATTGTTGGGAAAGGTTCAGGTATGGCTACTAAGATGATATCTGGGATGGAAAGGTTGTCAAAAGAAGAGTTAGAGGAAGTCTGATTGAGGTATCTAAGGTTATTAAGAAAATTGATAGTGTTGATGTATCAATCTTTTTGCATTTAATGGTGAGAAGCTAAGAATAGGGGACACAAATATATATCTTGGAAGGGTAGTAGTCATCTTCAGCTAAAACAGCTTAGTTTTGTAATTGGGTGGTTGGCCTTTGGAACAGGTTGCCTTCAGACGTGGTGGATGCAGTTAATTTATGGGAGTTATAAGGAAAAGTTTGATAAATACTTCACTGATAAGAGCTGGCTTTGAGTTTTTCTAGTATTTAGTGGATAGGATGGCCTAGATGGACCTAAAAGTTCCTTGTTTTCATTTAATGTTATAGTATATGATGTTTATCAAAACAAACAAAATGGAACCCACAGATTTAATACAAACTTCAATTTCAAGACACACATTTGCATATTCAAAACTCAATACAATGAATTATTACACATAACTGTAGTCTGTATCACAAGAATTACTTAACCATCACTTAGTAAGATTGATAATAATAAAAAAATCACATACTCTTTATTTATATACATTTACCTACTGTCTCCTGTGAATTATCAGCTAAGTGCCTTGACTAACATAAGTTTCTGCCCTTTACTATTTTTTGTGATATGTCACAGTGATTTAGTTTTTAAACAATACAGAATATGTTTAGACACAATAGTCTTTTCTAACAAACCAATTCTGAAAAACTACTGTAATTTTCCGAATATAATAAGGAATTTTTTCATTAAAAATTCACCTAAAAGTTAGGGTGCATATAATATATGGTAACAAATTTAAATAGCCCTTTTTTAAAACTAGTCCAGGCCATCTTTTATGACATGTGTTGTGAACAATATTGCATATTTACTAGAAATGTTTCATTTTGATGGTATGTCTTATTAATTCTCTCTCTCTCTCTTTCTAAGACATGAGAATTATCTACCATTTTCATTCATTTGCAGTATCTTGAAATATGATTTTTGAAGATTTATTTATGTGCCCACTTAGAAATGCATAAAAATACAAAACTAGTTATTGTTACATTATGTTTGATATCCAAAACTACAAATTGTTTTCAGTGAAACCTTCAAATTCTGAGTCCAAATCACTGTCCTTGAATATCTGAAACAGCTTCTCTACCATCTCTTTGTCACCATAAATGGCATCACCAAAGACATCTTAATTTTCATTATCTACCAGGAAATGTCATCTTCTGAACTATCCATGGCATTTGTAAGGTAACAGTTCTTAAAGCCACACTGAATCAATGTCATTTCAGGCTTCTTTGATCCATTGGGCAATGAGAAATAGGTCTGGTTTCTTCAGGATACCTGATGGTGTAAACACGTGCTCCCCCAGATTACAGCCACTCTTTCAAATTCAAACTCAACAAAGGCTCAGTCAATTTGACTGACCATATGACCTCTTTGTACTCCTTAAAAGTCTTTATAGATCTAATACTTCTAACTTTCAATACAGTGTATATATCTTCACAAAATTAGGCAGTTTTTCAGTTAACCCTATTGCTCCGGGTATCCTTTACTGGTTTTAGTGTCTTACATTCAAAATGAAAACCTTGACTTTCTATTGGTTATAGGTAATATATAATTAAACATAAGAGAGAACTATTAACAAATCCCGAAAGAGAGGATGTGGTAGGTGGGTGTGGCAGGAGGGGTCTGATTTTCTGTTTGATAGCTCTGTAACCAAACAAAATTGAAGACTATATAAATTATGGTTTGTCTGAGCAATGACGATTTTATAGGGAGTAATTACATTTCATTTCATACTTTTTTTGATGGGATGGTGGACAAAATAGAGAAGAGAATATACATAGAGAAAATGTATAACATGTGTCACACTAGAGGAAATTCAGGATTTTTTTAAATATTGCCTTATAGAATTAAAAACGTAAAACTTATATACTATTAAATATGTATTATCAGCTAAGATTTTTATGCTATACTAATTGGTATAACATAAAAAAAATGTAGTTTAATAAAATTTTGAATGTGAGACACTAACAATTTGTGGAGATAGGTTTAAACCATCGTTGAAGCTGGCCTGATGCCTGTGGGAATGATATGTGTGATTGTTCTTCAGGATATCCTTGACAGATGTTATTCTATTACACCTAAAAGCATCAAGGAACTGCATATGACATTTGCACAAGGGGCCTGTGCACCACACAGTACACAACCAGTCTTTGCTCAAACTTTTAATCATCCAGCCTTTTTCATGTGTATGGATGATGATCACAGCATGTGGCCATGTCAAATTTTTTTTTAGTATTTTTGTATATGGTTACATTTTTGTCTCATCTCTATATATCCTGAACATGATGGCAAACATGCAATTAGATTATATGGACACTAACATTCTTGTCATCTATGGGTTACTTTGACTGCAGTATTGCAAAAGTCTAGGTGTGTATTATTTATGGTGACAAGGCAAATGTTTTTCTTTGTTTATAAAGAACAGAGTGTATATTATATTTGACAGTGTATTATATTTGGAAAATTATGGTAACAATTACAGTAAAGCAAAGTTAAATAAAAAATGGAAGCATAAATCTTTGCAGTAATAATAACATTTAATGTGAAATAGTCCATTTTTCTTCTCATGTGGATATGCAGAAGCAGTAGGTGAAAGGCTAGTGGCATACATTGAAAATTTGTACCGACAGAGGTCAGTGCTAGTCGAGAAAAGCTATTTTGTGAGAGGAGGAAAGATACTGTATCGGAACTTTTTGACTCCTTTTATAAGTATAACCAGAAAACAAAGTAAGAGACTACAAAACAGATCAGCTGTATCACTAACAATACTGTTTACCTTATTCAAAATCAAACTACAGTACAAAATCATGCCAACACTCACAACTCTTATCAACAAGAAAAACACACCTACAGCAGCTGTTCAATAATTCAATCTACATGAATTTTCCACTGATGACCTCATAATTACTGTTGTAAATATTCTTAAAAATAGACTTAAAGAAAAATGGAAAAGTCTTCTGGATAAAAATCTTTATCACCGAGTGAATTAATATAGACCAAGGAATTTATCATACTACAATTTTGTAGTGGTTCATCACCTTTCACAATGATAACTTTAGTTTATGTGGCACAGACCCCATGAAATGGACAAAGAGGTATAGCAGGGTACAAAGTCTGTATTGTTTAGTGGGCCATGACCAGCTATGAGGTCCGTGGGCCAACTAGAAAAGCAAAAAATGAAATAGCCTAATCAACCCAACAGGGCTGACTAGAATTTAAAGCATTTTTCCTAATTTTACCTCTTTACTAAATGCACATTTCTATACTTTTCCCAACACTATAGTTTTTTTTGTCTCTTGAAATATCTTCCTTAAAATATATTAAAATACTCAATGGTCAACATTATACATTATATAGTTAAAATTTTATTTAAAAAAGCAATCAATGGTTGTAAAAATGGCACTTTACATGTTTCGACATCATCCATATCATCCTCAGGAGGGTCATAAAAAATGCTGCATATTTGTTGCACAGCATTTGTTTTTCACACTCCTAGGATGACATGAACAACATCAGAACGTGTAAAGTGCCTTTTTTACGACCACTGATCAGTTTTTAAATAAAAATTTTAATTGTATATTATATAATGTTGATCACTGAGTATTTTAATATATTTTAAGTATTTATATAAGTTTCCTTGAATTTTATCCAGCATCTTCCTTACATCAATCTCCCAAAGGAAGCATCTAGTTTTAAGGAATCCCTTGCCTATTTCTAATTTTATAAGAAATCCCTATGATACCTGAATTGAAAAGGAGGTACCTGGGCTAGGTGAATGGGATCCAAGCAAAGCGTGACAAATAGTAAACATCTCAATTTAGAAATACTATACTTTGTTTTCAGTATTAAAATAGTAGTCTCAATTCATATTATTTTTTTGTGTTTATGTAGATTAATTTAATGATTATAAACATTCCAAAAGTGATATAATCAAAAAAACTATTGTTTTCATCTATTTTTTTAATGTTACACATAGGTGCACATACATATTTACAATTATGTCTGCAATTAATAAAATGGAATTAACATAAATAGACATGTTCTTAGAATGAGCCAGTTAAATCCAATAAAGACAAGTCAGAATTCCTCAAGGATCACTCAGAATGTTCGTGAAGGACTGATTAGAAAATTTGTGAATTCTGAACACTTGTGTTTATTGTTCACATGTATCTCACTTATCAAAATGAATGGTATGCAACTGGTTCATAAGTGTCAGAAGAGAATTACAGTTTCAAGACACTGGAAGGTATCTTGTTTAATGTCAGCAGGTATCACCAAATGATTATTTAGGAAATGTGATGTTCAATTTGATTCTAAAGATATTTTATATCTTGGAACAACATAAGCAGCATCTAGTGCATTTTGTGGTTTTCTCCATGTTTTTACTCTACCATCAGTACAAAAAGAGGATACAACACAACTCATTAGAAAATATCAACCATTCATTGGTTGTCTACACTTGAGCTTTAGGTACCACTAGTCAGACTTTCTTGTATGCACCCAAGATTTTCTCTTTACTGGATTTAAGTTTACAAGTGACAGTTTTTATAATTTCATTTGTATGGTACAGTGAGAAATACTGGAATCCAGACTTACTGATGGAAGTTAATATTTTCCAACACTGAAAACATATTTCCAATACATACATACTTCTGTTGACATAATAGCCTTCTCAATTCAGTGCTACTCTCTATATGCACAATTTTCACTCAGGTGACAGTTTCAAGACTAATGGCAAGATCATGCAGAAACATGCAATATTGCTGCACTGTTGCATTCAAACGAGTATGTGATCACCCTCCATCCACCAATAGGCATGTCACACACCCTCTTTGCACAGTTGGCTCCCCCTATATTGATTGCTCAATCATCATTTCAAGATTAGGCAAGAAAAGACACACCAGAAGTAGGAAGAATGGGTGGGAAATGTAAGCATAGATATATATTGGAAATACATTTTCAGTGTTATAAATTGTTAACTTCCAATCATGATACCTTACCTCTACTAATATAATACATACAAGAATATCCTGGCAGGCACTACATGCCATCTAGTGGGATCACGTGATGCTGATGAGAGCCCTCTGTAAAGGTAAGAGAGAAAAGAAAATGTTCTGACCCAGTTAAAGCCAGTAAGGTGTATGTAGAAGAAGAAATGGCTAGATGATGAAGATAATGTGCTACAAAAATATAAGGAGATGTCAATATGCCAGATTGCATGATCTCCACCAACAAATGACAGAGGTAAGCAGCCAGAGAGAAAGTATGGTGTTGGATTTGATAAGTGGTTACTTGGAAGAGTTGATAACATATGCTAAACAGATGAGCTGCCACATGCATCCAATGAGAGTAATGGGAAATATATCTCAGGTAAATGAGGAATTCCAAGGAATAAATAGATGGGAGCATGAACCTTGGAAAGGTGCAGTGCAGGCCAAATAACATCAAACCCCAGGGATGGAACAGAGAAGGTAGTCAGGATCAGAACAAGAATAAAGGTGAGAAACAGATGGAAGGAAAATAGAAGTGAATGTGCTGTTTCCTTCAGTGATGCAGTGATGGTCAATAGTGAAAAACCTTGGTCAAATAGTCATGTAAAAAAGAACAACACAATGACATACTTGTTTTTAAAATGAAAGATGTAGTTTTCAGTGTCTTAGACATTTCTTAAGTGTATAAGTAAACGGTGAGTAATGATGTTTGTATGCTTATAATGTGCAACTTGTGTGAAATTAATAATAAATATCTACACTACTCTACCAATATTTTCCACTAGCCTTAAGAAGCACAAGCTAAGATGTATGTATTACAGTGCTCTTAATAATTTCATAAGTCTAGATTGTTTTTGATTTATATAAGACCTAAGAATCCTTGTCCATTATCCATGGATAAGAAAACTAAAAGTATTAGTTTTCCTGTTAATTTTCTTACCTGTCAATAGTATAATTTCTTCCTAAGAATGTTTGAATTTGCTTTGACAGCAAAAAATGTCAACATGAGTAAAATTATAATCCCCACAGAATAGTGTTTGGCAACAGTCCAATTAAGAAACTATGTTGTACATCAATTGTTTTTTTTTTATTTTACTTCTTACTTTTTGATTTCTGGCCTAATATTTTCATGACATGATTTTTTTGAATTATGTGCCTAAAATTTTGTTCCTAAATTTAACCTGTATTATGCCCCACTTTTAACCAATATCAGGAATTTCGGTATGAGATCCTATGAGGTGAAACCTCAAGGGATTACCCGGAGTGCTCAGAAGTTTTAGATTCCCTTCACGTCTCTTGTGATGGTGATGTGGGCTGTCGCTTTCAACCAGTTTACTACCTTCATCATATAAACATATCATATATGCTTACTGCTATAGCATTAGAATGGTCAGTTATTGGTCTCTACAATTTTTTTTTGCAAGATTATTTTAATATTATGACCCTTACATGACAGGCAAAATATATTCTAGTAAATAATACTGTAAAATAAACTCTATTACATCAATTGTTATAGCATAAAATGCCTTTATGTTGGCAAAGAATAATCTACTGATCTGTTGCTTGTGTGACATTACATCACAGTTAAGACTGATGATACATTTTTGCAAAACTTTCTTTACTAGCTCTATATTAATGGTTTCAGTCAAAGAACATAATAGCATTTTAACCAAAACATTATGCATTGCACTTTCACTTGCTTGACCTGGCAAGCAAAAGGCCTCATTGGCAGTGGCTTGTGGTTGAAATGTTATTATATCTTCTTATTGGAAACCTATAGCATAAACTAGAAGGATTTGTAAAAACTTATCAGTCTTACTTTGAGGTAATGTAACACAAACTACACTGTGTTCAAAAGTAATAGAATAAACTTATTACATTAATGATTCTTGATTAATCACTTAATAATCACAAAAATATTACCAATGACAATAACTTACTTTTTCATTGTTGATTCTGTAATGTATGGCATTTTTCACATAGCCAAACTGCTGGCAATATTCACAGAGGTCATGAAATACATATCTTGAGTTCACTTCAACCAGAATACTTTTTTTTGCCTGGAGATGCCTCCTTTTAATCATTTCATCAAAATTCTGAGAACTTCTGTGTACTGGTGGTTGACTAGCTTTAATGCAAATTGTTAAAAGAATTTAATGTACTTTAAATACATTAAATTTCTTGTTCAAAGACGAGTATAAGTACATATGCATCTTACATAACTATTACAATAAACACTAGAGATAAAAAGCAGTAATGATAAAACAATGTGTACAACTCTCAGATGATGCAAGTCAAAAGCAATAAATCTATTGTAAATATACATACAAATGGATACATGGTTAAAAAAGCTGAGAAATCAATAAAAAGACAAAAATTGTGATAGGAGCATAACACACAGGGCCATGCACAAGAATTTAAAATTAGACAACTACTGGAAAGATGGGGCATTAAACACATACATTATAAATGTGTGTGTATATATAATAAACCTGCTAAGGGTTCAGGTTCCTATTTACTCCCTTAAGAACACAATAAGGTTTTAAGTTATGAATGTATTTAATGGTCAAAAATCAAAACTAATATATGTAAATGGTAGGAATTCAAATACTGTAGCTCATGTGTGATGAGTAGTTTCAGTCAATGTTTAGATCATCTTAGTACATCAATGATCATGATGAAAGCTCTAGTTGATGATCAAGCTTTCTTTTTTTTGTTATGCCATAAAATGATCTGCTTTATTGCTTGCAATTTTATATTACATAATTTTCAAAACCAATTAATTTCCACATGCATGTGTTGTGCTGCTTTTAGCCATCACCACAGCACAATGTGAAATTATTCCAACAAAACCTATACCAAATAAATCACAATTACAGGGAAATTACGGAAAACCAATACTGTTAAAGGTAAACAGTTAAACATGAATGTCAGTGAAAACATAAGACATAAAGACAATTTGAATTTATTTCATTTTCAGGGATCTAAAAAAGATTTTAAAAAGTTAACAGGTAGTTTTGATAAATACATGTGCAAAGTAGAAAGACTAAATAATAAACACAGATAACCTTTACAACTTACACGTAACAATTTTGATAAATGCAGCATAAGGGTTTGAACATGATTAACACACACCACTTAAATAAATACGTTAATGTTATTTAAAGCTGAAAATGCATGCACTGCCTTCCACATTTGAAATGCTGTACTTTAAATAATGAAATTGGAAACAAAGAGAAAAATCATCACAAGGCATAATTGAATAATGGAGAAGTAGAAGTGACAAGCCTCTTTTGTTAACTGGAAATATTTCAATATCACTACTTCATACTGCAATTCTAATTAATGGGCACACATTTTCTACGCTCAGTATAAAAACTTAAGTGATACTACAAAATTTTCAGAGTTACAACAACTAATTTCACAAGAGTAAAAACTACAAACATCCATAACATACAAATAAAAATTTCAATGATAAAAAGGGAGTATTAAATCTTTTTTTACATATATAGTAGAAGAAAAACTAATACTACTTAGCCTTATTGTTCTGCCCTATAAACATCATCTTTTTAGAGCCTATCTGTTTAATGTAAATTAAAATTTAGTAATCTGCTAAAGTGATCGCAAGCAGTAAAACCATCAAATATGGTTTATATGTGTGTATTTATCAAAAGGTATATGTAATCAACTTAAAACTCCTTTTGAAGTAACTAAGTTTTAACACATTTGTAACTACTATCTAAAGACAGTGGGTTGTTTCTTATGAATTTGTTCAGTAGAAATTTTTATTATTTCTGCTATCAAAGCTTAATAAAATTGAATAGAAAAAGAATTAAGGCAGAATTTTAACATTTTCCTGCATTGAAAATATACTTTGATAGATACTTACCTCGAGCTCCTGTAGTAGCTTTTCTAGATTTGTGCTTACCTCTTTATGCATAATTTTCAATTGCCACTGGCCTTGATATTCCCACCTACCCTCATGTGGTTACATGTGGTATAGCTGCCCTGTAGCATGCAAATTATATTCGATAACCCTTCACCAATAGGAGTACAATACACCTTCCTGGCACACCTGACTCCCTCTATACTGTACAGCACTATCATCACTTCAAGATTAAGCAAAAAAGACACACCTGAAGTGGGTAAGATGGATGGGAAGTGTAACTGGAGGTAAGTATCTACCAGAAATACATTTTCAGCATAGAAAATATTAACTTCCAATACAATACTTTACTTCACATAATAGATAGAATCCCACAGTGGAATGGTGGAGAGACCGGTGCAAAAGTTACCCAGATGACCACTCTTTAGAAGGCGCCTAAAGAGAACCCATAGAGTTTGATTCTCTAATGTATAGGGTCACACCTGTGGGTGATCCCACTCCATTTTTGCCCATTGTAAAGATATGTGTTGCTAAGTCTGTACTTACAGAACTGTAATTGGAAATACCAGATGGTGTAGAGTGGCTAGGGTGGATCAGACTTTATTCGGTGGGTCAAATTCAGCCCAAAATCAGGTGGTATCAAGTATTTGTCTTCTGATCCATGGTTGGAGAAGGGTTTCAACTATCTTCACCTCAAGACCAGAAAGCAGATGGGAAAAACAACTTTCGTTCCAATCAGCTAGACAAGGCACATGTGTGCAGTCCCAGTACACAACCAACACCAGGCCACCCAAAGTCCAAGGTACGGTAGGAAAGGGGGAATGCAAATGTGGTGGATCAACTCTAGTCTAAATCCAGGCAGTGTCTAGAATTTTTCATCCAGTTCATGGCAGGAGGAGGGTCCCTACCAGCTACATGTCAGAAGCGTTATGTGTGCTGATCCAACACCTGACTGCCCAGGAACCAACATCCAGGCAACAGTAGGATGGGGAAAGTCAGCCAGAGGGGTGAACTGCATGTGATGAATTCGTTCAGCCCAAAACCAGGCAGCATTGGAAATGTGTCTCTTGGTCTGCAGTACGAGGAGAATACTCACCATCTACACAAACAGAACACCACAGCCCTACTCTTGACTGACTGAGTGCAAGTGATCACACTCAGAAGGAAGCCTCCATGGTCCATCCCCCAGTGGCTAAGAACTGGTAAGCAGCAAGGAATTCTACTCCACAGGAAAAGGGAGGTGGACAACAATGAGATGGATAGTTTAGAGGAATACAACACTGAAAGACAGTGCAATGGGTGAACATTAAATCCCTATTTTGAAAAGCAGGGAAATACCAGAAGACTTGATATTTTAGTTGATCTATGTTCTTCGAAAAGTAAGCTACTTAAAAGTCTTTTTCCTATTATATTTCTGAGGTTATTGCATAATGCATTTGAAAAATTTTTCTACATTGATTTGATGCAAAACTGTTACTAAAACGATATTATTTGCTTTTTAAATTAGAATTGTCAACTGACACACTTTATACTTATACCTCTTGACAGAGAATTCTACCAACACTTTTTTAAATTATTCTACTGCTGCTATTGAGGTACACTTCTAAAATATAAAATTTTTGACCAAGAATCTACTCCTTCTCAAGTGAAGAACTGTTTTCTAAAATAATTGTATTATGAAGAAAAAAAATATGTATATTACAGTTACATGATTGTTCTAAAATACTTAATAACACTAACAAATTATTTCCAATGAATCATGTATGTTCCTCAATGTCATTGATTCAAATATTTTTTATACAGTGATAGCTATAAGAAAATAGAATAATAATAATTGGTTCATAAATTGTATTCATTATTTTGACATTTATAAGGTTTTAGCAAATCACATTTGTTTCATTAAAAATACCTAACCAGATATAACATCTTAATAAAATTACTCTCAAATTAAAAATAATCTGAAACAGTTATTGAACCACTGTCAAAATTGTTCTAATTTCTAAATGTATTTTCAATTCATGATATTTCATCACTATTTTCCCATAACTTATTATTTTTACAGTTACACTGAATGTCTGCTTGTATTTTGTACTATGTGAACTTTGAAAGGAAAACTTTACAGTAGGTGTCTGTATCTTGTTGGCAATAAATTTCAGCAACAAGCAAACAGCACATAGACCATTTGTTTTGAAATAATATATTAAAACAAGTCAAATATATATGCAAATATTCATTACACTGCTGGTTATCACAGTTGTATCTAGAGGTTTAAATAATTGTCTCTTTTTCAGTGAACTTAGAACACAATTTGACAAGATGAATTATTCTTCCTGCTCTGTGACAATTTCATTTTGAAATCACCATAATATGCTCTTTATGGCTAAGCTCACAATCACTCAGTCTAGATCTGACTAACTATATATCTATGTCTAACCCTGTATTACTTATTAAAACTACATTTTGTATGCATATTTATAGACTGGCAGAGGCCTAGAACGTTTGACTCACTACAAGATATTATGATGCAATAACATCCAATCAAAACAAAAAGAAAAACAGAACTACAAAAGATATGATTCCTACACTATTATGTAAACAAACTTGCAATAAGCTATCACTTCTAGAAATAAGTAAATTTAATACTCGCATCGAACTTAAATCGAAACAGTCGTGTATACCAAACTTGCAGTATCCTTGTTGGCTTCAATGAGGAACTGGTAGTTCTGGAGATACAATGTCTACCTCATGACCCTCGCACTGTTCACTTTAGGCCTCTGGATGTATGCAAGGGGCTGATGGTTCACATGGATGATGAACTCCTTCCTGTAGAAGTAGTTCTGGAATTTCCAAATTGCAAAGATTTCAGATTTCAATTACAGAGTAGTTCTTCTCACTACTCAACAGCTATTACTGAAGCACATAATGGGAAACAGTCCATCTAAATGTTCTTGCAGAAGTATTGCTCCAATTCTAATGTCTGATGCATCGGACTGAACAATGAATGGTTTGTTGAAGTCTGCCATTCTAAGAACTGACAAACTTCCTAACATGTTCTTCAACTTCTGGAATGCCATATGCTGTGGTTGTTCTCACTTCACCTTGTTTGGTCGGCCTTTCTTGGTCTGGTCTGTCAGTGATGCAGTGACTTCGGTGTAGTTTAGGATGAAATTTCTATTGTGTCAGGCTAACCCCGAGAAGGATCTGACTTGCTGCTTGGTTGCCAGAGCTAGCTGGTGCATCTC